ATGGTTTACAATGTGAGTAGCCATGAACTCTTTGAAATATTGGCCCCGTTTACACTGTCAGTTAAATGTGACCCAAATCCGATTTATTTTTTTTATTTTTTTTGGTCATGTGACACAGATAGGATCTGTTCTATGACCGTGTAAAAAGGAAAGAAACGCATGCATTCGGATATTTCAAGATCGGCCTCATTCATATGTGGAACTAAATCAGATATAAATCCGATATGTGCCAATGCGACTGTCTTGTGAACAGGCAGATCGAATTTTTTGAGGCATTGCGTTCTGTATGTCATTAAAACTGCGCCAATTTGGTACTTCTCCGCGGTTTAATAACGTCATGTGACCCATGCTGGGAAAATGAGTAGAAATGCGTACGGGCTAAAGCTACAGGCAAAAAAGAAGAAAAGAACTGGTGAAAAATAGCGATCCCAATGCTCCAAATAGTAATTAACCTAAAATTATCTTTATTTGTCATATATCATCCGAAGTGCGCTTATAATGGCGCACGATCCCGATACATGTAGCTACACAGAATTACAGTATTTCATTATTCACGCAAACATAATCTGTTCTAAGTGAATGCTTAGGGAACTGTTGGGGAAAAACATCTGATGTGTAACATTATATTAGATTTGTGCATTACAGTAGCTAAGTCGTAATATAGGGCCTATAGGTCGTCTGTCTCATTTATGTTAATCTAACAAAAAAAGAAAAGAGGGAATCACTTGCTGGACTTCATTGAACTGCTTTTGTAGTTTTAATAATCAATTTATTTGTAATGAACAACACACTGAAGTGATTTTTACATTTGATTATTTGTTTTACCTACATGAATGCTTTTGTTTAGATGATAAAGGTTTCTTTCTACTGTTTTTCTCGCATCTGTTCCTATTTATAATAGCAAAGATAAAATAAAAATAGCTATATTGTGATTATTAATATAGTAATTATTAATTAGAAAAGGAACTGGAGGAAAACTTTAATCTTTCTCATAATCAACTTTGCTGACTATCGACTTCAAATGGGTGTCGCTCAGTCATTTTTTTTTTTTTTTTCCGATTCCAACAAATCATAAATCATTTTGAAGGTCTTTTAATGCAGAATGTGAAAATAAAAATAACTAATTTTTTAAATTTGCTAATTGTGACTCGTTTGGTCAGCACAGGTCACATATTATTCTCAGGAGGAAGCATGTGGAGGCGGTAAATGACAACAACACATGCGCAATGTTTAAGATGGTATAAGCAACAAATCAGAATTGGGCATCAAGACCTGCAGTGTAAACGAGGTTGTTACGTCCCAGCACGCAATTTTGCCTTTAAAAGATAAATGAAAGACAGCCGAATATCAATAATATCATATAATGTGTATGAATGTAACATAACAGCTTGTGGGATGCATGACATCATATTATCAAATGCAAGTAAACTTTTGAAACATTTAAATTTGCATTATTTTTGCATAATAAGTAATGCTATATTTAATAATACTGTAAAATAATTAAATAGAATATAAAATATGAAGATTAAAATGAAACAAGATCACATTTATTTGGTTTATTCAGTTCATTTTAACTGAAAATATTACACTCTTGTTGATCCACCTCTGACCTGTGACTCTTCTTTAACTGTATTTCATAGATCAGGTTTGTTGGATTGATCCAGTACTTTATTTCACTGTAAAGCAATTTTATCTAGAGAAGAATTCAGACTGTGAGGTTTGTAAATGCAGGACTGGAAGAAACTCTTCAGCTACAAACTAAACAGACATCAAACCAACGGCCACTTTAACCCACAATCTAATTGTCCACCCAGCAGATGCAGAAAACCCACCACAGAAGGGTTCAGTTTGACTCTGTTGAGCTGCTAGTGGCACACTTCAGTAAGACTTGCAATGTGAGTGTGTACATGGTTTTAACTTTTTTTTTTTTTTTTTTTTTGCAATTTACAACTACTGAATGATTATAAAACCATTTTAAAATTAAGTAAAATGTATTTATCATTAAATTTAGGTTGGCATCCAATATTCACATAATTTTCCACTCTTACTTTTACTATTTAACACAGTGAGTACTGAGTAGTTCCTTTTAAAAACCATGCTGTTTAACCAATGTTAAATAATAAAAATGAAAATGTCTTCCACAATTATGAACTGTTACAGTCTTATATAAGAGCCAGATTTATAGGTTATATAACACACATTCATTTTGTGTGTGTGTGTGTGTGTGTGTGTGTGTGTTGGTTTTTGTGATTTACGAGGACATTTTATATGAATACACGCAACACTATGAGGACATTTTGTATTATGAGGACAGGGCCAATGTCCTCATAATTAAGACAATGTAGAAGTGCTTCTATAGGTAGAGGGAGCTTTAATTCGAATTTTCTCCAAAAGCCCTTATAATTCACAATTACCGGACTTTATGTTAAGCGTGTGTATCGCGACTGCGCTCGGTAATGCACGTCCTCATTAATATTCAACGTGTATATGGAATCGCAGGTTTTGATTGGCTGAGAGGCCAGATGTCCTCATAATTTCGGGTTTTGTCAAACCACTGTGTTATAGCGTATCCACACCAAGGACGATAAACATAAAACTGGTAAAGCATCTATGTATTGAATATCCCCCAATAATAAAAGTGTTATATTCTGTAGTTTTGTCTCATTCATCTTTTGATCATATTTGCAGATGTCTTGACTCCACAGCAGACAACGCAATTTTGTCATTACTGTTCCAATAATTATGGAGGGCACTGTATGATCTTTAATTGTTAGGGTTAGTCGGATGTCCCCATACTTACTGCTGGTGTCGTGTTGTGTATTGTGGGGGATGGGCAGATGTTAAGTGTGTCTCCTACTTAATCCTCCTTCATTCTTAGTTTACTCATTTTTCTTTTCTATTCTCTTCCATCTTCTAGCCGCACTTTCGAACACACTACTTCTCTATCGCTCTGTTATCTATCACTTTTTAAAGCAAATTTTCTTGAATCAAATGGAACCAACCTTGTTTATTATATCCTCAATCTAGTTTGTTCCTGCTTCTGGCATAACACTTGCTACAAGAAAAATGTGAAGCCCAAACCTGACCCATTAACATCAGTAAGTGTGATTTATCGAATAGTCAGATTTTTTTTTTTGAGTAATTTTTCCTTAGAAGTAAACTTTTTGAATATGTACAAATAATATTTTTGCTATTTCAGGATTCTGAAGAAGAATTTTCCAGTGAGAATTTCTCAGATCGGGACTATGTACCTAATTCTGTTTCAGAAAGTTCAGAAGTGGGCATAGTGTCTTCAGAAAATGAATGTCCTGAACAACTCTTAAACATGCCAACTACTAAAGTGTCCTACTTTGAATCTGCTGCAGAAATTCAAAATGGCAGACCATGCCAAGAAAGCATCATAGGTAAAGATTCACACCCAAAAGATCCAGTCTGCACAGCACAGCTTGAAAGGTCTTGTATGAAAGTCAAGCAAGTACAAGTCTCGGAAGTTCACAATGAAGCAAGCGTTGGTAATACTGAAGACACATCTGTTGAGAATATCACAAGCACAGGGGAAGATCCATGTATACAATCTTCAAATATATCTTCTTCAGTAAGCAAGAAGAATTACTGCTACATTTGTGGAAAACCGCAGTCAAAATTTACACGCCACTTAAAAACCCATGAGAAATCAAATGTCGATGTTGCTCGGGCTTTGGCATTGCCAAAACACTCCAAAGAACGTCAAAAACTTCTGAACAAACTGCGGAACAAAGGGAACTACGAACACAATGCAGATGTTTTAGCGAGTGGGACTGGACTGTTAAAACTCAGACGTAAACCAAAGAAAATGTATATTTCAAAAGATTATGTGCATTGTATGTATTGCCATGCAATGTTTCTCCGGAGGGATCTCTGGCGACACGTTCGAAATTGTCTTTCCAAACCAGTGGAAGATCAGGCAGAGCCAGGAAGAACTAGGGTCTTGTCTTTGGCAACAATGTCTAATACAGCTCTCTGTCAACAAATATCACAGGGTGTTTGGAAGCTGTTAACTGTGATGAAAGACGATGACATCTCTGCTGCTGTGCGGAGTGACTTTTGCATTCTTCAGCTGGCCCAGTCATTTTTCAATAAACATGGACAGGATCCCACCAAATATGACTATATTCGACAGAAGCTCCGGGAAGTTGGAAGACTTCTGCTGATTCTGAGAAAAGAATTTTCAGTACAGACTCTTGAAGATGCTGTAAGACCTGCAAATTTCAATGTGGTTATCCAGGCTGTCAAGAGGGTATCTGGGTTTGATGATGAAAAACACTCATACCAGACTCCAAGCCTTGCCCTCAAGTTGGGCCACTCTCTGAATAAGATATGTGACAATATACATTGCAGAGCTCTAATGGCAGAAGACAGTGAGGGGATAAAGTCAAGACATTCAAAAAGCTGTATGATGCAAAGTGGTCTGAACTTGTTTCTCACACAGCTTTGACCACCTTGAATGAGGGGCACTTTAACAAGCCATCCACCCTCCCTTTCACAGAAGATGTACAACGTCTTCACCAGCATCTTGAAAAGGTTGCCGATTTAGCCTCTGAGAACTTGAAACAGATGCCATCAGCACAAGTCTACTGAGAACTTTGCAAAGCAACTCTAGCAAAAATCATACTGTTTAACCGACGACGTGGAGGAGAGGTTGCAAAGATGCAACTGAAAGGTTTTCTAGAGAGGGACACAGCTGCCCTACATAAAGATGTTGCTGTTGGGCTAACAAAGTTTGAACAAAAACTTTGTGCACATTTCAGTCGGGTAGAAATTAGGGGTAAAAGGGGGCGAAAAGTTGCAGTCTTGTTATCGCCAGACATGGTTGATGCAATAACACACCTCATAATCAGAAGAACAGAGTGTGGAGTCCCAGAAGAAAACACATTCCTGTTTGCAAGACCCAACTGTTTGACTCCATATCGAGGACAAGACTGTCTGAGAATTTATGCAAATGAGTGTGGTGTATATCTAAATATCTAAACTACTACTTGCCATGGAGAAAGGGTCACTTACAAATCTTCAGGGCAAAACACTAGAAGAGATTGAAATTGAAGGTAATGCTACTAAGTTGTTACAGTATTCATATCCTAAAGATAATCCCTAGCATTCAGACTTTAGATCTTTAACAATGTAATATTCATCAAACTTCAGAGTGATCACCATGTCCTCTTTTTTTTTTTACTCTAACATTTGCAAAGTTAAACTTACTTGATACTCTGAATGTTTATTTTTTGTTAGATGAGTTAAACTTTACTGATTCTGAGCAAAGTGAAGACAGTGATGCTGAGGAGATACATCCACAGACACAAACAGAAACAGGTAAAAGCACATAAACATACAAACATCAAATCCGTAAAGTCAGCATAAGAAGTGTACCATACGATGCACCAAAACATTATAATAGTTCAGAGCTGTTACTGAAGCAGCATGGTCTTGATTCACTTCATATAGACCAAGCACTACTATTGTTTGTTATCGTATTTTATTTTTCTATTCGCAGATATTGACTCTGCCTTTGGAGGCCCATCTCAAGGTTTGACAAGAATAAAACGTTTTCAACTTCAAACCCATTTTAAGTATATATATATACTAACACATTTTGAAACTAAACTGAGTGCGAAAATGTTTAAAATGCAGTTTAGATTGCTTGATTTATTATATTGTGTAAATGACACAAGATTTTGAATTTAGGATTAACAAGTTTTTTTTTAAACAAAGATTGTTGTAGGAAAGACAAAGAGCGGAGCAGGAGGGAAGAGCATGAACAATCGCAGATATTGACTCTGCCTTTGGAGGCCCATCTCAAGGTCAAAGACAAGAATAAAAAGTTTTCAACTTCAAACCCATTTTAAGTATATATATATATATATATACTAACACATTTTGAAACTAAACTGAGTACGAAAATGTTTAAAATGCAGTTTAGATTGCTTGATTTATTATATTGTGTAAATGACACAAGATTTTGAATTTAGGATTAACAAGTTTTTTTTTTAAACAAAGATTGTTGTAGGAAAGACAAAGAGCGGAAGAGCATGAACAACATGGTAAAAGCACAGAAGCATTTACAGAAAAAAACACTGTACTAGGGAGTCGTGTAGATCAATCATTCTAACCGTTTTTGTTTGTGATGGAGAAATTTTAATTTCTCCATCACAAAATTTACAGAGATTTACAGTTTCATTACAGTTTCACGGTGTAAAACTATTTATGAAATGTTTGAGCATGTGCCATCAGAACCTTTATACTGAGCCATACTATTCATACCGCAGGAATGAAGAAGGCTAGGCGCCCTGTTGAGAAACCTCCAGGCACTTCAGATGGTATGAGCATCTACCTCACTCAGCCAGCATCTCCATTGAGGTTTGATTTAATTAATGCAAACCAAGCACTACTACTGTTTGTTATATTTTGTTTTTTCATTCACAGATGTTGACTCTGCCTTAGGAGGCTCATTTCAAGGTATGACGAGAATAAAAGGTTTTTAACTACTTATCTATATCAGGAACTAAGTAACCATAACACACAAGTCAGATCTTTAATTTCATTGTTTTATTTACAAATTGATATTTTAGTTGAATGTAACATCAGGATGGGCCAACATTTAAAACACAATCTTACAAGGATGGTAACAACACAACCAAACATAATGAATAAATTGCTCCCCTTACTAAAACAAACAAACAGGCAAAAACATGTTTAACAAAAACAGCAGCCCATCATTTTTTACTCAAAGGATTAGTAATCTGTACAAAAAGGTTTGACTAAAGACAAGGGTTGGTAAGAGTGTGGCTGGTTGGGAGAAGAGAGAGATCTGGCCATCATGGTGTTCACCCCAGGGTTCAGGAACCTGTTTTCCTCTTTTGTAGTGATTCGCGAAAATTCTCCTGAAAGGGGTGATGCAAGAAGGAAACAAAAACGAATATGGTCTCCAACAGAAATCGCTGCAGTAATGAGACATTTCCGGAACCACATCGCAAGGTGTAAACTCGCCACTAAAGTTGAATGCCAACAGTGCAAGAATGCTGAGCATCCTGTTTTGGCTAGTCGCTCTGTCCAAAACATAAGAGATTTCGTCAGGAATCGTGGCTTAACACTAAAAAACAAACAGTCACAAAATACTCAATAAGTGTTTTTTTTTTTACTGTTTTGTTTATATGCAAGAGAAACATTCTTCTGTTGAACATCTGTTAAAGGATTTAATGTGCTTTCATAATATCGAAAAATGTTCGGTATTAACTTTTATGTTTATGAACCGTTATAAGTAAGTTCTCCTCCTCCACACAAATGAGTTTTTTTTTTTTTCTTTTTCTTTACACACAGGACGTCTCTTTATACACAAAATGTTAGTGTATCTTATGATGTAATATTATAAGGGCAACTATTGTAATGTTGCTGTAAACAAGAACTAATTAAACTTTGCTCCTTGTTCACAGACTGTGCATACTGTTAT